AAGCGTGCATGAGCGTGTTAGATAGGAGTGAATGGAGACGAATGATACTTGGGACCTGACGATCTGTTGGAGTGTGAGCAGGGTAATATTTAGTGAAGGGATTCAGGGAAACCGGTTATTTTCATATAGTCGGACTTGAGTCCTGGAAATGGGAAGTACAATGCCTGCACTTTAAAGGAGTGGTTTGGGATATTGGCAGTTTGGAGGGATATGTTGTGTATCTCTATACGTATATGCTTCTAAACTGTTGTATTCTGGGCACCTCTGCAAAAGCAGTGAAAAAAAAAAAAAATATATATATATATATTTCTTACATAATATGGTACAAAAGGCTTAAGAGATACATTGTTGATATAAAAATGACATATGCAGTACATGAGATGTGAGAGATACATGTCTGGTACATATTGTTATGTGTTTGTTACTGATTATAATGCGAAAATCTCATCCAGCTCTTCAGAGCTGGGGCGTGCCCAAAATACAGCATGCATTACCCCTCTGAATAGCCACACTGAGTTGGAACAGAAAATTAGCTGCCCTGGGATCCCTAATTACCCTGATGAGTCTTTTGCCTAGCTCCTTAAGGAACTTAGATGCACTCTTTACCCATGAGTGAAGGGTCTCTGAGCCTATGGGAACAAATGTATAATGATGGGCAAGTTCTCCATATTTTCTAGACTTTTGGGACTCCCTGAAGCTGGCGGCTGCCCCTCCTTCCTCCCTGGTGTATTGGAGATAGGTATCAGCCAAGGTAGATGCACATGTGTAGTCCCACACAACCTCCTTACCGTCTGTCCAGGCTTGAAGTGTGATACCATCTGGACGCTTCTGGCTGCCATCAGATCTGCATAGTTGGGGTAGCTTCCTTACTGCTGGGCATCCAGCTGTTGTGAGGCTCCTCTTGATAATGTTATTTATCTCCTCATGTCTTGCAATCTTTCCCTCGGATTTACAGCACATAAGACCATGGTACCCGAATCGGTCTGCTGCTTCACTGCCACAAATACACCTGTTCGGTGAGAACAGGGGCGGCAAGTTGAAGGGCAACACCAATGCAGATGGTCTGTGGGTCGAGGCGTGTGCCAAGGCTGGAGTTGGCAACAACCAACAGAAAGTCCCCTGCATGAGGAGCTCTCACTGCCAGGAGGTGGGCTCTATCCTTCCCTGAAGGATAGAGCATTGTTGAGGCTATTTTCTCCTCTATCGGGCCATTCCAGTGTGACTGTTAGTAGTTGTTGGGGGAGCAGGTCTGGTTTCAGAGCCCATTAGATTATCCCAGATCATGGCTCCATTAATGAACTTTTGGTCCTGGACTCCAATCTTGTCCCTAAGATGTTCAGGGAGAATCGCTGCTACAAGCCCTCTGGATGCAATGCACGAGGACAAAAAAGCATGTAGCGCAATTTGTGATGACTTGCAGACACCAACGCATCCTAGTCTGACTGGAAGTGTAGCTTGATTCCACTGCCCGTAAAAATCTGCCTCAGGATACTGTCATATTCGTGCAGTGTAGGGTTATATGAAGGTGCACATCTTAGGAAATATGTCAACCTGGGCAGACTCAAGCACTTTGTGAGAAGGTACAAGGCATCGTGGGTGTCAAGATTGCCTATTCGTTGTTCCATTCTCCTCAATTTTTCCAATTTCTTCCTGAGAATTGTGTCAATGGAATCGCTTCCCAGAGGTGCTCCAAGCAAGACACTATTTGTAGGGGCAATGACTGATGCTCCTGGTAGTTTTGATCTCACTGCATTTATCACTTGTTGACTGAGATGATTTCACATTTGGATGGATTCAGGATGAGACCCATTTCTTGTCCTTGTGTCATCACTTGTGTAAGATCATCTAGGAGGGACTCCTTTGTACCTGCTATTGTGCCATCATCCAGGAACCAGATGTTTAACTCACTGGTCAGTCTGACTGTGATTTCCCTAACCGCTATACAGAAGAGAAATGGTGCAAGAGGATCCCCTTGCTGGACACCCTCTGATGATGTGATTTCATGCTCTCCAAACAGGAGCACTGATTCCTTGCTATATCCAGCTGAAACAAAGGGGAAGAGACCAGGGAAATGTTCTTGTACTTCTGCTAATACCACATCTCTTTTCAGGATATTAAATGCATTCTTGGAGTCTAATTTTACCACTGCATTGTCCTCAGGCAGGTTGTAATAAAGTTGGTAGAATTACCGACAATATGTAAAGTAAAGGACACAAGTGCAACTAATGTGACATTTTATTGTGGCAACGTTTCGCTCTCCAGGAGCTTTGTCAAGCCGTTAATGGCTTGACAAATAAAATGTCACATTAGTTGCACTTGTGTCCTTTTAGTCAGGCAGGTTGTTGATACACACCCTTGTTGCATGAGCTGCTGCTTCACTTCCTTGAGACCCTCCAAAGCCAAGCTGGTTTGGTTGAAGCATCATGGCTGCCTCTGCGCGAATGCTTCGGACAGCAGCTTTGGAAACGAGGCGGCGAAATAGGCCTAATTCCTCCATCCTTCTTTTTAAGTGCACAAAGTGTTGCACCAAACAAGAAAGGTTTAATTTCGTCAGGAATCAGACCAGCCAAGGAATTGTTGACAAACATTGTGATCTCTGAAAGCAGTGTCTCTGCAATCTCCCCAATAACTGGATTAACCACTTCCTTTAAATGCTGTGGCCTTATTCCAGTGTAACCCCTAGCAGAGCCAGATGGGAACAACATTATTGCTTTGTAAATGTCCGAGTCTTCCACAATCAATGGTTCCACAGTGGGGACAGGTGTTGGAACTGTTGGTGCCCCTGGTTTCCCTGGCAGGGTGCTTTCCTCTAAGTGCTTATGCTGTGTCAGCATCCCTGGGGGCAACTCTATCTTCACCGGTAATAATTCTGATTGCTCCCACTGTGTTGCCCTCTTCAATTTTCTTGCTTACCTGAACTCTGACTTTTTCACTGTCAGTGGAGTGAGTGAAGGTTCTGCCTCTCCCGTTTGTGTATTGATGGGGAAGGCGAATGAGGTTATCAGTTCTAGAAAAGTCTCTTAAGGATTTGATGATCATTGAGGCTAGCCTCTTTCCCTTTCTTTCTGGCACAGCTAAGCAGACACTGCCAAAAACAAGCAAGTTGTATCATGCCTTGATGGTTGGTGGAACATTTAGGATAGTGGAGCCATTGTTTACTTTTTTTAAGAGGTCTGTAAGTTTCCCAGCTGCATGTGGACAGGCTGCTTTGGGAATGTGTGAGTGTCCTAGTACCTGTTGCTTTAATTGCTCCTAAGATATCATCTGATGAGATGAGATCTGTTGGAGTGGGTTCAGGTACCTGAGGTGGATCTGGATCATCGCTTTCTACAGGAGGACATCCTGAACCAGGGCAACTACTGTGTTTGCGAAGGAAACCATTAGAGTTGAGACAACGAAGCTGTAAGCACGACCGGCACTTGCCTCTCCTAGTATGTATTGCCAGCCGTGCCATTTCCCTGGCTGTTTGCTTCCTCCTGGTTGGCTGCCTCCTCCTGGTTGGCATCCATCTGGCTAGACTGGACTGTAGAAGTGGAGTATGACATATATATATATACAGTGGAACCTCTACTTACGAGTGCGTCTACGTTCGAGTTTTTCCAGATACAAGCAGCTGCTCGGTTGATTTTTTGCTTCCAGACGCGAGCAAAATTTCCAGATGCGAGCGGGCCTCAAGGGAGGTTAATTGATACTGGTGAGGGGGCTCTTGCTCTTGATCTAGGGAATTGGATCTCAGTTGTTTGCTGGACTATCTTATTGAAACTTGGGCGATGATGAAAAGATGCTTCTTAACATACACCAAAAATGAAAGAAACTGGACCATAAATAACAGAGTTCACTTCTCAGCCATGAGCCTCCCCTTAGTGGTATATTTTCGTATGGTTTTTATGGTTGTATTCTCGTTTTATTTGGTCTCATGTGATAGAATGGAAGATATACTACAAAAATAAATATGATTTTAATTGGTTTCATGATGAAAAGTATGTTGAAATTGAGCTCAAAATAGCAGAAATGTTCGATTCTTTGGCGACATCAGTGGTAGACATCATGAGGTAGCAGTGGCAGACAACATGAAGCAGCAGTGGCAGACATCATGAGGTAGCAGTGGCAGACAACATAAAGCAGCAGTGGCAGACATCATGAGGTAGCAGTGGCAGACAACATAAAGCAGCAGTGGCAAAGTGTAGCATTAAAAGTGTAGCAATTAAGTGTAGCATTATGAGTGTAGCAATTAAGTGAAGCATTAAGAGTGTAGCACTTATAAGTCACTCTGACTTTTTTGAGTTATCCTAGGTTCTCTACACATGTAGTCAGGAGCAGGAATGTCCGCTGTGGTGGCCCTATAAATCCCAGCAACAATAGCTGCTGTCACCCCCACTAGCCAGATACCTAATGACATGTATTTTATTCATTCTAGTGTATATATCATGTTTCTATGTTATTAATATTGTTTATTATGTCATATTACATGAATTGTGATAGATAAATAAGCTGTAGAGTTGATATTAGGGAAATTATTAAAGTATTTTCTCGTGCCTGGAATTCCACTGGAACGAATTAACTCCATTTCAATTAATTTAAATGAGGAAAATTGACTCTGCAAATGAGTGAGCAAGGTCATGGAACGGATTAAACTCGTAAGTAGAGGTTCCACTGTATATAGATATATATTTATTTATATTTATATTAGATAGATATTCTGTATATTATTTACAGCTTCCTTTCAGTGCTTCACAAATATTTTCCTAGCACTGGAATAGAAGCCAATATGTATAAGTATGGGCAGCAGTTTTTCTGCTGTCCATATCTACACTTTTCTCAGAACATTCCTCCCACACCACACACTCAGTCACTACAGTCAGGGGGTAGTGAGACTATACAGTGTTGTATCAGATGCAATGAAAGAGAGAGTGGAAGTGGATGGAAGAGGAGGCAGCAAGAAATTAGGAGAGGAAAGGAATGGGAAGAGTGAGGAACTCATCTGAATAATATAACATGTATATTTTTTAAATTAATTTTATGTAACATATATGAAAGTAGATATAAAATATGGCTCAGGAACACTAAGGTTTCTGAGTGTCTATGGAAAAATAGGTTCCAAATTCCAAACACTTGAGTTATGGACAATATCCAAAACCACATTTCATCTTAAGTTAGGGGCCTACTGTATAGTATGATAATAATAATAATAATAATGCAGTAATATGGTAATTCTATATATGTAAACCTAATGTATTGTCATTTGCTATCTTGAGTGATATCGTTGTAAGACCCACACGGGCAGGTCCTTCTCAAACCCAACCTTTCTCTTGTATATTTATTCAGCTTATTTTTAGAGCTACCCAAGGTCTCAGCTACAGTGACTACTTGGCAGATTTTCTACTTGACCCCAAATCTGCTGCTAAACCAGTATGTACTTTCTTATGTGCTTTCTAAATCTGGTTTTATTCAACTTACAGACAAAAGACACACTCCATGAATATAATAATAAAAGCAACTGTAAAAGATGTCATAGTTTTTAGAGGTCACAGTGTTTAGTGTTCTGCTCCAAAACTGGTTAAACATATTCTACATATTCTATACACACACAGATAGTTACTTTAAAATAAAACTGAAAAAACTCATTAGCTGAAATGGAGGATTTCCTCGCAAGATCTAAGCATCTTCTCCCAATATGGCCACTGTATGTGGTGGCTGTCAGTAGAAGAAGGTAAATACTTTATTCTTGCTAAGTAAGGCAACAGTGAAGATGTCTTAAAGTTCCTCATTTCGAATCTTCTTGTATGACACATGTCTGTCTCTTACCAACCACACACTATCAAGTATTTTTCCATTCTGGAAAGACAAAGAATTACATTAATCTTTCTTTCAACACACCGGCCATATCCCACCAAGGCAGGGTGGCCCAAAAGGAAAAACGAGAGTTTCTCCTTTTACATATAGTAATGTATACAGGAGAAGAGGTTACTAGCCCCTTGCTCCCGGCATTTTAGTCACCTCTTACAACACGCATGGCTTACGGAGGAAGAATTCTGTTCCACTTCCCCATGGAGATAAGAGGAAATAAACAAGAATAAGAACTAGAAAGAAAATAGAAGAAAACCCAGAGGGGTGTGTATATATATGCTTGTACATGTATGTGTAGTGTGACCTAAGTGTAAGTAGAAGTAGCAAGACGTACCTGAAATCTTGCATGTTCATGAGACAGAAAAAAGGACACCAGCAATCCTACCATCATGTAAAACAATTACAGGCTTTCGTTTTACACTCACTTGGCAGGACGGTAGTACCTCCCTGGGCGGTTGCTGTCTACCAACCTACTACCTAGGAATTACATTAATGTACCTGTTTAATTAACAACACAGCAGCTATTTACCATCAAGGCAGGGTGACCCAAAGAAGTAGACTGGGGATACTACAAGTATACTGGGGATATTACAGTATAATTATTGGATTCATGGAGAATTGCTGAACCCATTAGGGTTTAGCAATTCTAGAGAAATGGGAGGTAATCAGGTTTGATTCAAGGAACGTGACGGTATACCTAGAGAGGGTTCCTCCGGGGGTCAATGCCCCCGTGGCTCAGTCTGTGACCAGGCCTCATGATGAATGAAGACCTGATCAACCAGGCTGTTACTGTTGGCCACACACAACCTGACCTACAAGCCACAGCTTGGCTGGTCAGGTACTGACTTTAGGTGCCTGTCCAGTGCCTGCTTGAAGACAGCCAGGGGTCTATTGGTAATCCCCCTTATGTATGCTGGGCCCCTGACACTTATTGTGTTGTCTCTTATTGTACTAGTGGCACGCTTGCTTTTCATTGGGGGGACGTTGTGTCATCTGCAGAGTCTTTTCCTCTCATAGGGAGTGATTTTCATGTGCAAGTTTAGTACTAATCCCTCTAGGATTTTCTATGTGTATATAATCATGTATCTCTCCTGTTTGCATTCTAGGGAGTACAGGTTTAGGAACTTTAAGTGTTCTCAGTAACTGAGGTGGTTTATCACAGTTATACGTGCCATGAAGGTTCTCTTTACATTTTCTAGGTCAACAATTTCACCTGCCTTTAAAGGTG